CGTTGAATAACATAGTGCAGACCACGCTTCAATATTGGGCATAAATCAAAAATATCTGCGATACACTGCTAATTTAAAATATTAAGACCTGAGCTCAGGAAGGACAAATGGAACGTCTCAAAAAATGACTTTCGTAGAGATATTAGACAAATTAAACGAACGGTTGTTGTTGACACAAAGTTAAAAGTAGTGTAGTTTAATATGGCTAACTGAGCGAGCTAAAAGAGTTTTTCCGTAAAAGTTTAAAATCAATCCACTGGACTTGGTTTCCAAGGTTTGAAGACGTTTCGCTTCCCCTCCAGGAAGCTTTCTCAATTCAAATGTCTGGATCCACAGTGAGTTTGAGGCTGACCTGTTAGCTAGTGAGCTCAGCTAGCCACAGCGCTACCCAGCTCTTCCCATGTATATCAGGGTCTAACAGTTACTTTGTTTACCAGAAACAGATTTTTTTCAGTTTTGTTATTAATCAAGTAAAACTTTATCGGTTATTATTTATTTATTTTTTTTACTTTATTGTACCAGGAAGTCCCTTAAGATAAAATCTCTTTTTCGAGGGAGACCTGGCCAAGAGGCAGCAGTACAGTATTATTAGACACGCTAACGCTACAGATGTTCGGGACTCGGCACACTGACGCTGGATGATGTTCTCATCGTTGTCTGGGCAACCACTATGTTTTACATCATGTAGCAACGTCCAGCCAATCATGTAGCGTATGATGCTACATGAGTAGATCTGGTAGCTACAGCGGTTCTGGGTTTAGGTCAAACTGAGTCATTCACATAAACATCAGCAGGATTTCAGGAAAAACATTCATTCTAACTGAATGCTGAGAATTTTTATTGAGATTTATAGACTGGTCTCTGTTTTAATCGTCCAACATCGTCTCCTTTAAATCTCATCTCAGCCACCAAAGACATGCTTTAAATCTGAGAGTAAAGGTTAGGGGTAGCCGGGGTCCCTCCGTCCGCCCAGACATGTTAGACTCAACCCCTGAGGTCTGAAGGACGGTCCATCCTGCTGAATTACAGCTGTCGTTATCCTCAGTCCGAAGGCGCAGAAGCCTTTCCTGGACGTGGTTTGGTGAAAAGCAGCTTTCATGACAAAAAAAGAAAACAGGAACAAAAACAACTTTTATGGGGCAAATTTGGAGCATTTCAGGAGAGCAGGGAAGCTTTTATAGCTTTAGGGGAGAAGCTGTATTTGGCTCTTTAGCAGGCCTGGGCAATTAACCGGATTTTTACCGTCACCGCGATAACCGGTGACAATTTTCCCATGTCGGTAAAATAAATAAACTTAATCTAGTCATTGCCAAGTGGTTGGAGCATTGCAGTTTGATTCAAGTCCCACATATTCCTATGGACTGGCGCTCTAGGTCCCTGAGCAAGATCCTTAACCCTTAGACTGCTCCCCAGGCACCGCAATATGGCAGCCTACTGCTCCCAAAGAGGATGAAGAGAGTTCATTTCATTGTTCTGTACTTGTGACAGTGTAATGACAATAAAAGCTGAAAAACTTTTTTTCTGTGGCTGTTATTTCCATTCTCCTTTAAGTCACGGCAGCGTCAAGGAAGTTTGTTTCAAATATTGTTGTTTTTGAGGTAGAGTTGTTTATAGACAATTTCCTGATTCCCATATTTTCTCAAACACCTGAACTGATCGTTTGTTATTTTCTTTCTTGTTTCTGTCTTAATGTTGGCAGTGGGCTTTAGGCTGCCCTGCAAGGCTTTAAACCTGGGTTTAACCGGAGACTAAGCCATTCTCAAGCACATATCAAGGAGCTCATTTTGAGCCTGGATCCAGATTTATTGTTGATTCTGTTCATGGTGGAGAATCCTGCTTCACAGCAGCAGGTTGAGCCAAACATCCTCTAAATGTGCAGGGTCATCTTTGAGCACGCCATTTCACTTTTCTTTCACCAGTTCACCGCAGTTCTTCCAGCAGTCCACACTTTCTCTGCTCTCTTTTTCTCATGGTCTTCTCCTTCTTTCCCATCGCCCGGCTTGCCACAGGTTTGCCTGCTGTGTCTAAAAGTAGCAGCAGCAGCAACCCAGACTGACAGCTCATTGGCTCATTTGGATCACGTGCAGCCTGGAGCCGGACGCTCCCCAGGGCTTTACCGTATTAACAGGAGAAGAGGAGCAAGTGAAATTAGACACTGTCGCTGGAAAACATGCAATAATTTATAAATGTTTTAAATCAGGTTGGATCCAGATTAGCCAGCAGGTGGGTCCGGATACGGCCGCGGTCCGCTAATCCGTGACCTCTGGTTTAAACAATGCAAATTGTTCTCATTTCGGTGGCACCAATATTACACCGATGTTGATCAAAGAACAGGAAATGCAAAGTTTTAGGACTACGCAACGTATCACACCCAACCTCCACCACCCCATTACCTTTGCACAAAAATGTTTGCAAGAGAGGACACATTTTTCTCCTGTTCAATGAGACATTGTTGAATGTTTAAGACTTTAATACTAAATTGAAAGTAATATGTAAGGTTATTTATTTAATAAACAATGTATAAATAGATCAGCTACATTTCATGCACATGCTTTTATCTCTGATAGAGGAGCCAGAGCATTTATCGTGCATTTATCATTATCGAGGTAAAACTGAGCAGTTTAGATTCGAGGTCGTATCGCCCAGCCCTGGTCTGTAGGTCCGTTTTCTGATGGTTCTGTATCATTTTCCTAAAAGGCAACAATGAGGAGAGACGGGGTCAGGGTTCAAAACTGACGGTTGTGGATTTCTGTTTCCAGCATCCTGAATGAAAGGGATGAAGAGCAGTGGAGCGAGCACACAGCCCTGAGGTACTCCTGTGTTCAGGATAATAGAGGGTGGAGTGCAGTTCTCCATTCTCAGCACTCGGGGTCAGCAGTGAGAAAATCTTTGATCTGGAACAGAGAAGCTGCTGCAGATGGTTTAATTAGTGGATTCAGAGGAACAAGTTCAGGCTGATTAATGAGGGAAAAAACCGGTTTTCAAATAAAATCTTAAATGTAGCAGAAGTTAGGGACGCTGATGCGTCCATACAAAGACGTAATGATGGACCGCCGCTTGTTTTTCCTAACAGGACAAAGAAAGTTTATGTTTCTATGTTAAACCTGCTGCTTGTTTTCCACCTTTATTACATTTGATCTCTGAGGCCCTAAAACAGCCTCAGAAAACCTAATTTC